CCTGAAGGTACTAGAGTCAACACCTCATGTTTTCTGATGAGCAAAAACATTGATGTAAGAAAAGCAGGGCCAGAAGTGTCTTTTTAGATTTCAAAGTTTCAGTCTAGAAACTCAACATGCACTTTATTTCCTTATTTGACATTTACTGTTATTATATGCAACATACAGGTGTTCCAGGATCCCTAAACATCATAGAAAGACACACACTGTATCTTCATTATCATATAAAGAGGATAGGCACAAATAGAAATACTCAAGGATAGTCAAGCTGAGTTCCATCAGAAAACATAATTCAAGCCATGTGGTAGTCTGTCAGAGAAGGAAACATCATTTGTTTTAAAGACAGAAAAATCAGTTTTGTAGAATACATGGTGTTTGGGATTCCCTAAAAAGGCATTTCTCTTATTTTTTATACATAAAAAACTTGGTGAAAAATATGAAGTATAAAAAATCTTCTCCCTATATACTAGTGTCAATATAACACAATTATTGTACTAATTGCTTCCCCCTAAAGTTTTTCTGTTTGGTCAAAAATTTAACCTACATAATTGTTATGTTTTTGGTTTAACTCACATGTTATTATATTCACATACATAATATTTATAATAATCATTTTTGCTTTTCTTTTTGTGTGTCTGGTGTTGGGGAATGATTATTTTTAATGGTTATAAAATGTTCAAATTGGTAGAAATCTTTCAGTAAATTTTTTCCCTACAGGGCATTAGATTGTTTTTATTTATTTGATATTATAATTTGATAATTCTTATCTTTCTCTAGGTAATATCTTTTTAATTAAAACTTGAGACTATATCCTTAAGGAAAAAAATAAGTTGAAATGCTAAGTTAAAGAACTCTAGGCTGAGTCTTGAAATTTGCATAGTTTGCATAGTTGATAGTGTTTTAGTATTGTCACATTATCAACTTTAAAATTTTGTTCAAATTGTTTTACAAATGATTTTACATAGGGTTAATCCTAATGTTTAACATATATAAATTTCACATATATAATGTTTAACATAAATAATGGTTTCAAATTAATTCGTATTCTGGATAAATTGAATTTTACCAGCTGGAGGTGCAGATGAGGATTTCTGCATGGAGGTAATAACTTCAAGAAGAGGGAGAAAGAAGTTATGTTTTTTCAACCAAATAAGAGAATTTGGTTGAAGTGTGATGCACAGACAATGAAAGAACAAGAGGTTAAAAAAAAAAAGATCTGGGGTAACACATGGAGGACCCTTCAGTGTTTAGGTGGTAAACTGTACCTCATCAGCTGGCAGCAAGAAGACACTGGCATCTCTGAGCAGGACAGTTAACTAAGCAATGTCAGAGATAGGTCTTTAGGAGGTAGGCAACCCTGCACAGGGTGCTGTACAGTGGACACAAACACAGTCAAAATGTCCCAAAGATGCTTTTGTAACCAAGATGTCAACTTGTATTTCCTGTTAATTATATCCATTATATACATAAATAAATGTAGAACTTACTTGCTTTTGTCTAAATCTTGAAGTCTCTTGCTGAACTTAGAAGCAATTTCTGTAAAATTCTTTACTGCAGAAAACAGTGCATCTGAAATAGAAGTTGGAATCATCAAGAGCTTTAAGAATGTAATTTCTAATGATGTTGTTACATAGGTAAAAAAATGAGAATATAGAAGATCATCCTCTTTTGTGTCTTACAAGGTATATGAGCAGTCATGACACGAAAAGTACATGTGCACAAGTAAACAGAATACTTCATTCATGTAGAACAAAAATAAAAAATAAATGTCCAAAGGAAGGTCATTGCATTTCAGAAATTACTGGAAACATACAAATAATGACATGGGAAAGAGCACGTGCAACATACCAAATGATACACTGTATGTTTTCATTTCCTGTGGATGTTTCATTGAAATATTGTAGATTTTGTCAGCATACTTTTTTAAAACTACAGCATAATCTCGACAGTCAAAAGGAAGCACTATGGAATTGGCCAATTCAAACACCATCCCTCCTCGAACCTGGGCCACGGTGAGGTGATATTTAAACGTTGGATCATAAAATTTTTCCACCAACTCATATGTTTCATAGACACTATGATACAATGGATAGCTGCTGAATTTGTATGTTTTCTACAAAAGAAACACATATCTCTTGTAAGATAGCTTATAATAAAATACATAGCACTTAATTTACTGTTAATGTTTGACCAATAATAAATAAAAGGAAGTACTTAAATACCTCAATGTGCTACTTAATAAGGGTCTACTATTACAGTATTTAAACTCACTCTAGGCTTGTACTAAGTAAAATATGTGCATGTGTGACATAAACAATATTATAAAAACATTCTTTTCGAGTCACCTTACAAACTTATATTTAACCATAGCAGAGATTTGAAAATGTTTTAGGAGACTGAGGAAAAGTCAAGAAAAGTGTTGCATTTGAATAAAAATAATTTAAGAAGACCAAACTATTAGAAGTAAGTAAATAAACATGACAATAGTATATAGGGAAATATGTGGAATTTTTTTAAAGACTGAAATTCTATTAAAAAATTATTCTCTGATGAACAGTGTGTGGAAAAGTAGACTGTCCATGCAGTGAGGGGTTCAGAAGTAAATGCAGAATCTCACTATGGA